TAAGAATCAGTCAAAATACTCATGGTTTTAGGATAATTCTCTTCTTTTTAATGAATTCATTACTCCTCCCAAGCAAACCTGCTCTTTCTTCTCTTGCTATCTCATGCATCCTGTACCTCATCCTTGAGTCAGTCTAGTTTGGTATCACATGCCTCTCTCAATCTAATCTGTTACTGAGATCTGACCTCTCTTTTTTCTAACTATCCATTCCCATCACTATCTGGATACTTTTCATCTAGTTTACACTTAGAAACTCATTACCTGTTTCCCCCTGTCCCCCTCCTCACCCCCAAACCATTCTCCGCCAGCAGCCACACCAGTGTTTCTGATACATAACTCAGTTTGAGTCACTCCCCTATAGAGGGACAAGTCTCACCAGATCTGGGGAGTGTTGCTATTAAATAAGGGGGAAAGCATATAAATCATTCAAATAAGTGATACTTGTATATGAATTTACTGTGAGGCCTTGGGTCAAATTCTATCCTAATTGCTTGTCTGCAATTCTGCCTGAGGGGGAAACCACATATTTTCATTTTCTGGTATGGCAGTGGAACCTTGCATGTCATTGTTTCTGTTAAATAATTTGCATCTTGGCTGGACTCAAAGGTTTTAAATTTATTTCCCATCCTTCCTCAACCTTTCTTTCCTGCTAATTATCTCTTCTCAAGAGAAGCACAGCAGGGAGTTTTAACTTACCCTTTTACTTGAACACTAAATATATTTTCCCCAAATCCCCAAAGAAATGTTTAAAAATTAAAGAATATCAGCCCTGAAGAAAGTGTAAAAGGTATCCAGCCTAAACCCTTTGTTTTACCACTGGGACTACTAAAGTTGGGTTGACACAGGGGTTTTTAGGGGGACACATAGAGAGCCACAGCCCCCCAGATCCCTGACTCTCAGACCCAGGCTTCATCTACAAAGGAAGAAACAGGAGAAGCAAAAGGGACATGGGGAAAATTCTGTGTTTCATTTTCCCTAGAACTGTGTTTCCCTGATCAAAACCATATATCAACCCACTCTTTCGTTATTTCCCCAAGGGTTCTGCATTAGAAAGGAGTAGAAGGACAAAGAAGAATGTTTGTGTTAGTTTCGGCTGTAATTTAAATGAACATTTTCTAATGGGTGAGACCTTAATGTGCCTTGTTCTTAGGCACAGTCCCTGGGTAGCTGGGCTGCAAGCCTGTCGGCCTCCTCTGGGCAAGAGGGATGGGCAGGTTGGGGGCTTCTTAGTCAAGGCCGTATTCCATAATTAGGTCCCGGGAAGCTCATGGCCCTCACCAACCCTTTTCCAGACACACACACAGGCACCTGCTCCCCATTCCTTCCTATGACAAACCTACACGACCACCGCCATGCTCCTGGGGCTGGCTGGAAGGCCCAGACTGAGCTCTGAGGATGCCATCCCTACCACTTCATAGCTGTGTGACCTTTCCAAGTAATTTGTATGCCTTAATTTTCTCTCATTTGGAAAATGGGATTAAAATATCTACCACTTAAACTTATTATAAGAACTACATGAGTTTCACATTTTTAACATATATTAAAACATCACATTGGTCCCCCATCAATATATAATTATTATTTGTCAATTAAAAATAAAATTTTAAAAATTTTAACAAAAAGAGCAGGGCATGGTGGCTAATGCTTGTGGTCCCAGCTACTCAGGAGGCTGAGGCAGGAAGATCCCTTGAGCCCAGCAGTTCAAGGATGTAGTGTGTGATGATTGTGCTGTGAACAGCCACTGTACTCCAGCCTGAGCCACTTGGGGAGACCCTGTCATTACATGAGTTAATGCAAACAAAGAGCCTAGCACAGTACCAAGCATATTAGATGTCAGATATTTATTAACTTCTGTAGCCCCTGTGATTGTGCCTTAATAGGAAATAGCTTCTGGGCATTTCTAATAGCCCATGAATGTCCCCCCTCTACCCCATAAAAGTCCTCTATGGTCACGTGCATTCTCTGGGATCAGCATAGAATCTGGGAAAGGCAGAGGCTTCACATGGGACAGGTCCAGCTTATGAAAATGAAAAAAGGGTCTCTTGGGCTCAGGCAGAGATGGGGCTCTGGTAAACAGGGGAGCTCATTCCCCCTCTTCCATGTCACAGGCTGCGGCCCAGTAGCTCGGCGTGGCAGCGGTCGTTCTGTTAGCTGCTCCTGCCATGCATGGGTTTTCCAGCTGGCCCAGACTTCACCTTCCCAGGGGCTCTGGCTCCCCGCAACCCAGGCCAACCCGGACGGTGTCGACCCAGAGACCACAGGAAGTCAACCCCTCAGGCTGGCGAAGCACGTCGGCAGGGGGACACGGGGCAGGGGGTGGCCGAGAGACTTCTGCAGCTCGTCCCAAGTCTGGCTCTGGCCACAGCCAGACAAGGCCTCTGTGCCCCTGGGAGCGGCCAGTGAGGACATGACGCCTGAAGGGACTGATTTCCTGGGACTCAGCTCTTCCCAGCTAAGGTTGCTCCCCGCCCCTGCTTCTGCCGTGTTCTCTTCAATGAGAAACTTGGGTCTGATTTTTTAATGAAATAATGGATTTGAAAGTATCTTAAAAGCTTAAAAGTGCTTTTCAAATTATTATTTACTTAAGACAGGGCTGCAGTCAGAATTCCGGATGTGCAGTGCTATTTAGACTCAGAAAAATATCTGCTTCAGTGAGGCTATTTTCTTCATTCATCCAACGGATATTTACTGAACCCCCAAGGCACTGTCAAGCATTAGGGTGCAACACTATCTGGGAAGACAAAGGAGTAGAGTCTAGGGTCTAGGAGTGGGAGAGATGGATGAAGAGCTAGTAAATACACAGATAAAATAATTAAGAGTGTGATAAGTGATCTCAAGGAAATAAGAAAGGAGCTATGATAGATAATTTTAGGGTGGACATATTTCAATAGAGTGGTCACAGGAAGCTTCTTCAGGAGATGAAACTGAATGTGAGAACTGAAAGCCAAGAAGGAGCCAGCTGTGGGAAGGTCAAGAAAAAGAGCACTCCAGGCAGAAGACTACAAGTGCAAAGGCCCTGGGGCAGAGACAAACCTGGCATGTACACAGGATATGAAGAAAGACAGTGTGAGCCCAACACAGTGAACAAGGGGGGGAGGGTACAGAATAAAGTCCCAAGGACAGGCAGGGGCCATATTACATATGTGCTGTAGGCCAGGGTAAGGAGTTAGGATTTTATTCTAAACATGATAGGAGAAAGGGTTTAGCTAGACCAGTCACACAATTTTATGTTTTTAAATGGATCACTCATACTGCATTGTGGAGAGTATGGTATAGGTAAACAAGAGTAAAATCAGGGAGACAAATTAGAGACTGTCATAGTGGTCTAGGCAGAATGCGATGTTTGATGATTACAGGGGAAGATGAGATGGCTGGTAGAAAGTAAGACGTATATTTGAGCATTTTTATTTGCGCATCCTAACTTAGAGGTAAGTTTACTATCAGGACTTGCTGATGGTGGGTGATAGAAGAAAGAAATTAAGGCAGGTAAGAAATTTGATTGATGGTTCTTGCCTGAGATGGGAAAAGTAGGGAGGAAGAGGGTTTGGGGGATAAAGTAAGAGTTCTGCTTTGGGCGGGTTAGGTTTGAAGATATCTGAGTGGGGATGTTGAGTAGGCTGGGTAAATGGGTTTGGGGACCAAGTATATATCCAGATAGGGCTGAGGATAAAGGTTGGAAGTCATCATTTAGAATTTTCATGGAATTCAGAGCTATGTGATAGGATGACTTAGAAAGTAATTGTAGGTAGAGGAAAAAAAGAGGCCTGAGGACAGAGTATGTAAAAGTGGAAGATGAGAAGTATCCAGCAATGGATGCCAAGAAAACAAATCCAGAAAGATTGGAGGACAGACACAAGGAGAGGTGTCCTAGAATCAAGACAAGAGTTTCAAGGGGATGTAGTGATCAAATAATCAAATTCTGCTGCAAGGTTGATAGAATGAAGACAGAACTGATCCTCGATTTGGAAATAGGGAGGTTGCCGGACACCTTGACAGGAACTAATTTTGTTAACTGTCTAGAATGCTCTTCCCACTCCTTTCTGAGTGTTCAACTCCATTCATCCTTCAATGTCCAATTCAAATGCAGATTCTTTCCTGCCTCAAATGACATCTCCCTTCTCTGTCCTTTTGTAAAAATTTTCACTTTAAGCCCTGCCTAATAAGAAAGAACCATGCCCAATTTATGATTGTATCTCCAGTTCATAACACCTAGCTCAGTATCTCACCTTTTGTAGGTATCTAATGTCTTCCGACTAAATGGACTCATACATTCATGAATGGATTAAAGCTCTTAGGAGGTAGTAGTGATAAGGGCCAGAATCCTTCACTATAACATGACCTTCTCAGGGTTTAGGATTGATATTATATTTTTCATCCTCAATACTTAACACTGTTCCTGGGAGTATTGTAAGCTAAGTACACAGTAGATACTCAATAAAATCTTGGTAAATGGAATTGAATTAGGTGGCTTCACACTTAAGTCATTCTCACTGTGCCAATCCCAAGTTCTCTAGAAGAGTTAACAGGGTCTCTGACCCAACAAATAGCTGTTTATATCCTGAAGTGAATAAAATGCTCATTCTTAGAACTGGATGGTAACTCTCTTAACAGAAACCCATGTAGTCATGTATTCTTTGATTAACTGAATCATACCATAAATTGTGATTGATCTATGTGTAATAACTACTCCAGACATTAAGGAAGAAAAATAGCAATCTGTGAGACTAAATAGGCGAGAGAATAAAGTTGGCTTCTTGCTGATATTTAAATGCCCTTTTTATTAATAAAACTAAATACATGCCTACATTGCATTTTTGCTCTAGGATTTTCCAGGAGAAACTCTTCTTCTAAGGACCACCATTTCACAGCAGAATTGAAAATATTCTCTACTAGTATTAGAGCTGAAAGGAAATAGGATTTACCAGGCATGCAGAGCCTTCTAGAAAGTAGACATCTCATGTTTATAAAGTAACCTCTCCTTTTTTTCTCTGTTTGGCCAGGCTGTGACAACATGCTCACGGGCATAAAGTCTCTGAAAATAGTGAAGAGGACGACAGATACACATGGCTCTTGGATGAAAGATGCTATCAGTAACTCTCCAAAGGTGTATTTCTTAAGTGGATCCAGAAACAATGTTGTTTGGGAATTTGCAAACATGCACGCATTCATGGAGGATAACACCAAGCCAGCTCCCCGGAAGCTAATCCTAACACTTTCCTGGCAGGGAACAGGCCAAGTGATCTACAAAGGTTTTTTATTCTTTCACAACCAAGGGACCGCTAATGAGATAATCAAATATAATCTGCAGAAGAGGACTGTGGAAGACCGAATGCTGCTCCCAGGAGGGGTGGGCCGAGCACTGGTCTACCAGCACTCCCCCTCAACTTACATCGACCTCGCCGTGGACGAGCATGGGCTCTGGGCCATCCACTCAGGGCCCGGCACCTATGGCCATTTGGTTCTCACGAAAATTGAGCCAGACACGCTGGGCGTGGAGCACTCATGGGACACTCCATGCAGAAGCCAGGATGCCGAAGCCGCATTCCTTTTATGCGGGGTTCTGTACGTGGTCTACAGTCCTGGTGGCCAGGGCCCTCACCGCATCACCTGCGTCTTTGATCCGCTGGGAACTATTGGTGAGGAGGACCTGCCCAACTTGTTCTTCCCCAGGAGGCCAAGAAGTCACTCTGTGATCCATTACAATCCCAGAGATAAGCAGCTCTATGCCTGGAATGAAGGAAACCAGATCATTTACAAACTCCAGACAAAGAGAAAGGTGCCTCGAGAGTGATGTATGACAGCCAGAGCACCGGGCTTTGGCAGCTGCTCTCCAGAACACTGAGGCCACATGGCCCCTTCACAGTGTAACAGCCCTCTAATCACACGCAGAAATTGGGTCTCGATGCATCCTTTCCCAGAGGTCACTGCCTTAGATATCTTCCAAGAGTTCAGATGAGAGTCTGTCACTGGGAAACTTTCAACAATGTCCATTACTCATCCACACCACCTGGCTCTTGAGGCCAACAGCATTACTTCTGGCCCTTTCTGATCCAGCTTACTTCTGGCCCTTTCTTCTACTGCTCTCAAGCATCTACCCTAACTCTGCCCTCTTCCCCCCAACATGTAGAACGGTATGCTACCTCCTAAAACTCACTGGCTTTTCTCTCCTCTGGCCTTGGCTCGAGCTCTCCCCTCTTTCTCCAATGCCTATTGATATTTTCCTCTTTTTCACTGTCCAATTAAAGTACCATTTCTTATTGAGCTTTAATCTCTATTTCCCCTAGCCCTGCCCTTCCACCAAGCTAGATGGATGTAATAATAGAGTAAAAATATTAACATTTGAATACTGCTTTCTAGTTACAAAGTGTTTGCATGTCATTTAATTCTCATCTCAGCCTTGTGAGATATGCACAAGTCTTTACAATTTGCATTTTAGAAATGAGGAGAGTTCAGGTGAGTCATTCAAAGTAACACTACAAAGTGAAAGAGCTACAGTAGTACAAATCTCACAGTCTTTCCATTGCCCAAGGAAGCATCAAATATGTATGCTTGTTTGCCTAGTCGTTTATAGTCACTGTGTTCATCATTTCAGCCTAAATAATAGTCTGCCCCTTTAGCCAGTTTTCATGTCTGTACAAGACCTTTCCACAGGCCTTTCAAAAGCTATTTCTTCCAGAACCAGCCTAAGGCTGAGGACCCCACCTCTAGCCTCATCTTGTCTTACTGTCCTCTGCTTCCCTCTTCTTGCTTTAAATACAATAAAAGTGACACTTAGCAAATAACCTCAGCAGGTTATATTTGTCTATGTACCCTCAGCATAAAAGACTTCAGGGAATGCTGCCTATGTTGGGTTTACTGTGAACAATTCCCAACACAATGAAGCCCTTGGTAAATATTCTAGAGTCTGGATGGAAGCCAGACAGCAGGCAAGCAACTCTCTGCCGCGGCAGGCGTGCTGTGTGGCACAGAGGGCAGTGTGCCTCCTAAGAGGGGCTTCACAGTGTTTCCCACGTGTTTGTCCAATTCAGCTAAGTTCGGGGTCACAAGTGCAGGCTGTGGTGCCAGTCTGTGTCATGTGCCGAGGCCTCTGTCTTTCCAGGTTGGTCACATGACAGGGTTTGCTTTGTGTGCTTGCAGCTGTTTTCCCATGTTTGCCAAGCCCAGGATGGGACAGGCAGCACAGAGAGATTTTTTTTTTCATAGCAAGTAGATTCCTGGCAAAATGGATTTACCCTGCCCGTGGATATAGCATAATTACCCACAGTTCTAATAGAATGATATAGACAGCCAAAATTCTTTGTGGAATGAGGCAGGTATGAATTAATAAATGTGGTGATATTACCCAGTCCATGGGGTTGGGGACATAACCTGTCCTTTGCCCCACAGGGATATAACATTACCTACATCACAGATGCAAGGAAGGTGTCCTGCCGCACAGAAGAGGGTGGAGTACACTTATCAATAAGAGTTGGTCCTGCTCATGCAGTACCTTTGGAGGCAGAGGAGAGGTAATGTACTGTCTGGCTTCCATCTGGGATATGCTTTGATCTGACAATTCTGCAGGGTACATCTGCCCCTAACAACTCACCCTGGTACCATAAATCCCTGCAGCTAGAATCACTCTTTGAGGCCAAGACATTTCCCCAGGAAACCCCTGTTAATGTGCCACCTTGCTTCCTGATTGCTGAGGCAGGACAGGATGCAGAGCAGGTCTGGGAACACCTTCTTGGGCTTCTTTCAGATGAAACTTTGCAGCTGTGAGGTCTTGCTGGATTTAAGTGAAGACTGATATCTCCACGACCCACAACAGTGGTTCTTAAATTGTGCTGCACGTAAGAATCACCTGGAGAGTTTTAGGAGTCCTAATGCCAAACCCCTAGGGCCTAGACCATTAAATCAGAACCTCTGGGGGTGGGACTCAGACATCAGTACTTTTTAAGACCTTTTCTTCCACGTGGTTTCAAAGTGCAAATAAGCTTGACAGCCAGTGGCTTACAACATTTTACAAAGTAATTGCATAGTTCCAAGAGCAGGCTAGCATTTTCTGGGGGCTGGGGTAAGGACAGTGGGTCCACTGGGGCAATAAAATGTGGGAATTGGAAACACTCATGAACTCGTGTGAACTGTGGCAGCCTCAGTCTGCAAAAGCCTCTCTGCGGCTATTTTAAGGAAGTGAAAGAGAACTGAAGAGCGTCCTCTTGTAACACAACTCTTGTGGGCCCCAGCCTTCCTCTGCTGCTGGCCAGGTTCCTGCAGTGACCACACGTCTCATATTTGTCAGGGTGGCTTAAGTTCTGTTCACATGTACAAGTCTTCCGGGCCCACAGTAATTTCAGACCACAGGGGTAAATTTGCTTTGAAAAAAGAAGTTCCTGTGGAGTTTGTCAGCACTCCAGTCTGTAGAGAACTGGAGGCCAAAGCTGTGGCAACTGCTGCCAGAGCTGGGGACTGTGCCAGAGTCCCTGGTGTCGCTGCCATCTGAGGCCCACAGGGATTTCAACCAGCCGAACTGAGCAGCCAGTCCTTGGAGGCCCAGGCAGGGCCACAACCTAGCAGTACAACTAAAGGGGATTCAGGCCACACACGGCGGTAGGTGTTGGACTAGGTCTCCAGGGCCGAGTCCTCCCCAATTCGAGAACCCATTCCTGTGGTCTCTCATCACCACAGCTTTCCTTGGACCTAAGGTGCCCACACAGGTACCGGTACCATGGTGCTGGGCGCAGGGAAATGCTCCTTGCCCTCAGCTGTTCACAAGACTGGGCACCAGAGCTTTTGTTTGGCGCCAGCCACTAGAGGGACCTCCGCCCCAGGTCTCGGGGTTCGAATGCGGCCAGACCTAGGGTGCCTCGGGGCTTTCCAGCCGGGGGTGGGGGTGGCGGCTCAGAGGCGAGGAATGAGTCTGTCTTCAGGCCAACTTCAATTGCGATGGGATCGCACGCGGGCGGCGGAGTCCGGACGCCCCAAGGGTTGCTACGCTGGTCGTGCCCCTAGCACGGGTTTTCTACGCTCCTCTCCCTCTTCGCAGTTCTCAACACAAGGTGTCCTTCCTCGCTTTCAGTCCCCGTGGCACGAGAACGGCGCCGAAGGGCTGGAGACGCCCCGGGGAGTGCGAGCAGCAGCGAGGGGACCCACTCGGGGGACCTCCCTGCGCCGGAAGGGCGCGGGGTGGGGGGACAGGAGGAGGAGGAGGTGAAACGAAGGAGGCGGGGCTCCGGGTGGGCGTGGCCTGCGCAGGGAGGCGGGGCTTGGGCCAGACCCGAGCGCGGCGGCCCAGGGGGCGGGGTTGTCGAGGCAGGTCCCTGGGGAACAGGAACCCGGCAGGACGGGTCCCGGCGGACTGCACCGGTGCGGGAGAGGGAGGGCGGTCCCTGGGGAAGGTCCCAGGGGTGGGGGAGCGGGCGCTCCGGGACCAGCCTCCCGCGGGTCCCCGCCCCCGTCACGTGGGCGCCGGACTCGGCCGCTGCGGTCGGTCCGCTGGTTGGTCCGGCAGTTGATCCGTGGGCCGGTGGCCTGTGGGTCTGTTCTCGGCTCTCCTGTTCAAAGGTGGGAGAGGTACACCGGAGCGGCCCGCACACCTGAGCCGCCCGGAGAGGAGCTGCTGCCCCGCACCCAGGTCAGTGGGCTACCCCACGCCCCCGGGCTCGCCGCGGGATCCCGGACAGGGACCGTGCCGCATCCAAGAAGCACACAGGCGTGGGGGGCAGTGCCTCTGTCGGTCCCGGAGCGTGACCCAGGCGTGAGGACGGGGACGCTTCTCCCCTTTTCTCTGACCAGAAGACTGGAAGGAGGATGTAACTACTGCGGATTTGCTTCGGAGTCCGCGGGCAGTGGACGCTCCTGCAGGTGCCAGGGTGGCCCCGGAGATGCGCAGGGGGGTCAGTTACCTGTGCGGGCGCACCCGAGCTCTGCTCAGCCCGGGGGGCAGCTCCGCAAACTAGCGAGCCCAAGGTGGTACGGAAGCTTTAGTTCTGTTTCCCGGGCGAATCTCTGTTCAGCAGAGCGTGTGTCCAGATGCGGCGCCTCCGCTAAGACCAGTTCTATACTGTAAAAGCAAAAATGCAACATGCTTTCCAAAAATCTCAAGCCACTGCGTCCCAGTAGACTGCAGGATGGGGATGGTCCTATTTGAAAGTGAGTTCCTTCTCCCCTCATGACGTCTGACTCCAGACTGGCAGTTTTTCCTCAGATGAAAATAAGATAGCTTAAAGACCAGAACTTCCAAAGTTTGGGCAGGATTAAAACAAGCATTCTAGGCAGTGTTTAATCCTCTTTAAAAACAAATCCAATTATGATTACTTTTAGAGCGGCTGGATATTTGGTATAGATCCGTCTCCTTTTCCATATTTTGCTAGTCTGCCTTTCTCTTTATCTCTCTCCTTCCTCAACCATTGCTTAATTGATTATAACACAAATCTGAAGCATCTCCAAATTTTATGGTGTATTTTGTGAAGTTAAATGCTCAACTACAGAAAAGTATTTGGCCATAGGCATAATTCATCTTCAGCATGTTCATTCTTTGATTATTATTAGTGTCTACAAAACACTAAATGTTATCTGATTTAGAAATTATTTCTCTCTTGGGCTTAAGAGAGGCAGCTTATCTGTACTCTGCTTAAGTTCGTATTTGAATAACTTTGAAGTAGGAGATGCGGAAGATTGGTGAGTTTTTCAGATTGCCTTTATCCACGATTTTATTTAACATGTTTTAATTAGTAGCATTACTTTGCGATTTGATGATGTACCAGTTATTAGCTTAGTATTAGTATTCCTGGGGAGACAAGCCATGGCTTCTTTACTGCTATTCCTAAGGCAGATGTGTTTAGACTTTAAGACTAAGTGGAATGAGATCAATGACATGAAGGTAGTAGCAAACAAGTTGTGGGAATTCCTGCTTTTCATCTGAGCAGGGAGAATCTGAGATAATTTCAAGAAGGGTGAGGTATGTGACGGACCTCAAAGGTCCCAGGTTTCTTCAGGCAGAGGAGGGTAAAGCGTGGCCTGCGCTGTGAGAGCTGTGTGGGCAGCGCAGACTGGCTGTGAGAAGTGGTCAGTGGTCCAGCTTAGCTCCTATGGCAAGTGGCAGACAATAAAGCTGGTGACAAGGATAGAGCATGGTCCCAGCTGGCCATGAAGGCCGGGGCAGAAGTCTGGTCTTTGAAGGCATGGGAGCCAATAACAGGTTTTAAGTGGTGATTGATGTTTCTGTGAGTTTCTCAAAGTCAGAGACCTTGGCCCTTGGCCCTTGGCCTTTCTGACTCCCAGCCTGATAGAGATAAAATCCAGTAAATATTTGTGGAATGGATGGTCTGACAACACTTTAGAGCAGGGCTTCTCAAACATTAGCAAGCTTGATTATCACAGGAGATCTTGTTCAAATGCTGATTTGGATGAAGTCAGGGATGGGACCTGACAATCTGCATTTCTAGCAAGTTCCCTGGAGGGTGTCATCTCTTCCCTATCTACAGGAAGGATTTAGAGTAGTAGCTTGCAAACCTGGCAGTGCCTCAGAATCGCCTAGGGACCTTTGCAAAACATTCAGATTAAGTAGGTCTGGAACTTTTTTCCAAGTTCCCCCAGGTGATTCTGAGGACAGCAAGGTAGGGATTGCTGTACTGGCTTTGCTCTGGAGCACTGTGAGCAGCAATGACAAGGGAAAAGGATATTGGGGGTGGTGAGGCCAGTCAGAAGACTGGAAAGCCAGTTCAGAGTGTAAGTGATGAAGTATGAGGCCTTGTTTTGGGCCTGAGAATGTGGTGAGGAAGGGTCGGGTGGGGGAGAGCCTGGAGAGAGAATCCAACTGTAGGTTGGCCAACTAGAGAGTGGGAGGTGTCATTCTCTATACAGATTGGACAGGATGAAAAGGGAGGAGGAAGGAACAATTCTGGGAAAATTCAGCTCTGGACATGAGGAATGATGTGCTTTAGACTATGTTTTGGGTAAGATTTGAAGGTCATTTTTTACTTGGCCATAATATACATATATATATATATATATATATATTTTTTTTTTTTTCTCTCTGAAGTACAAATCTGTTCATGATGCTCTCCTGCTTAAAATCATCTGGTGAATTTCCTCACGCAAAATACAAGAAGGAAGAGCTAATATAAACACGACTGACGAGGTGTTTAAACATTTCTTATGCTTCACAGATTGTGCACTCCCCTTCAAGATGTGACAGTCACACCTCCTGGTGTGGGCACAACTAGGCTGAAACTCTTGGCAGCTTTGTTTTTTCCTGAGTCACTATCTTTCCTGCTTCCTTCTTTCTCTGGGGAGTTCCACTTTCCTTGGCCTATTCGTTTCCTAGCATCATTCTTTGGTTCTGTTTTCACAGAGGCCACTTGAACTCCAGGAAAGGTGGCCTGCATCCCTTACATACTCTTAAAGCCAGGTCTGGATTGACTTTGTTTGTGGAGAATGTGTGTGGATCTCCACAAGGTCCGTTCTTATCTCTCACACATCTGGTAAATAATCTAAAAGATGCTGTCCTAGGGAGGTCTGTTTAGTTTGAGGCCCAGATCTCCACAAAGAATTCTGAGCTTTGTCTTCAGTAAATTTGTTATTTCTGTTGGCCTTAAGGTCATTGGTTTGATGCTTCTTGGTCATTCTTAATTTCCCCTCTCTTTTTCTCTCACATTCACGCAGATACATTTATAACACTGAGAGCTGAGCATTCATTGTGCAGGATGTTTTTAATCACTCTATTCCTTGTTGTGTGGTAACCTTGGCCTCTGTAACACATCTGTAGATGGGAGGCCTAGACACAGGTGGGATAGGATCAATATCCTACTGATAGGATAAAGTATAACTGCCCTGTATGGCATTCAAGGCTCTGCAGAGGCTGGCCCTAATTTAGCTGTCCAGCTGCATCTCTGCTGTTCCCCAAAATGAGAAACTCAACAATTTCTATTCTTTTATGCCTCTCTGCCTTTGCACACACTATTTCCTCTTTCTGAAAACCCCTTTGTCCCTGTTCTATAAGAGGGATGAACTCATATATATATATATATATATATATATATATACTGAAGGATATAAATCCTTCAGGATTTATATCAAACTCTTGAAACCCCCTCATCCCTAAGTAATTTTTACTTTTCTGTTATGTACATATCACATCAAATATAGATCTCTACTATGCTATTTGGTCACTTAATTTGCATGTCTCTATCCAAACCCCCTCTGGATTGCTTCTGGGCTCCATCAAGTCTTGTGTGTGACTCCATGCCTGGCAGATGCCCAGGAAGTTTGTGCGGAGGTGAGCCTGAGTTGGCTGGCTTTGCAATGTTCGCCTCAGTGAAGAAGGGCAGGTTATTTTGTGTGTGATATGAGAGAAGCTGAAAGACTGGGAGGAAGGACAGGCCCAACCAGGAGTGGGCCCACATGGCTAGAGTCATGGGGTTGGGTGGGGACACTGGGAAAGGTGAGGCTGGAGTCATGGGCTTGGGAGAGATCAAGGAAGGTCCTGAAAATTGGAGTTGAGGAATTTAAATTTTATGCTGATGACATTGAAGGTTCCATACCTAAGTATGGAAAAGACATGGTGAAAGCTGTGTTCTCAGGAGGATTCTGGCTGGGAAGAGCAGGTT